GGAGAACCTGTGTGTCCTGCTGAGGGGCCGCACTCACCACCATGGGGCTGGGGTCAGCAGGAGGCTGGAAGCAGCGAGAGGATTGTTGCAAGGTGGCCGGGCTGCACGTGGGGGCTTCCAGGGGAGGGTCAGGAGCAGAGCGGCGGCTGCAGGCAAGGGCGGCTGAGCACCTGGGGTTTGGGGGTTGACACGGGCTCCTTCCTGGAGGCCTCAGCTCAGGGACTGCGACTCACCTGCACACGAGGCATCCTGGGGCTTCCGCGGGGAGTCAAGGAATTACCTGTGTGCGTCTGGCCCGAGGGGGACACCTCTGGGAGCATTCAGAGTGCCATCAGTGTCCCTCTTACCTGCCTGGGGCCAGACCGCCGCAGTCCACGGGCTGACCACTGCAGGGAGGCAGCGGGGCCCCCACCGTTGGGGTCTCAGGAGGCGGTGGGCAGCCCAGAGGACCCTTGCCCCATCGCTGGGATTTATTTTTCACGGGCTCCTGGCCAGGCAGTCTGGCAGCGGCTTGCAAACATGCATAAGACCACCGGAATAAAAGTGGGAGAGAAAAGGGGGTTCAGGGGAAAGGCCAGGAGAGAAGCACGGGGAGGGTGGTGGGAGGCGGGAGCCGAGGGTGGGGATGGGACCGGGCCCTGCTGACCTGGCCGTCCTGTCCCTGGTCCTCAGACGCCGGGCAGCAGGACGTGGCCGACGTGTTTCTGCTCCTGCTGCAGCGCCTGGGCCGGGAGGACCTGCAGGAGGTAGGAAGTGGGGGGCCCGGGCACAGGGAGGCTGAGCAGGGGACACTCACCTCTCAGGGTGAGGGTGGCAGCTGGACTCCACCGGAGAGACGGGTGGCAGGCTGGGCCGCTCGTCAGACCAGGGACAGGACAGGGGAGGGCACCAGGGCCGCGATGTCTGCCTTCAAGGGCAGAGCCACAGGCAGGAGGAACTTGAGTCCTCCCCTCAACAGTCACAGGCTCTGGGGTCCCTCGCCCTGAAGACCCGGGCCTGACTCTTCACAGCAGCAGACGTGGGGCTGGCGTTGTCCAGGCCGTGGGCGTAGACCCCCTCGATGCCAGTGCCCCAGGATGGGCGGTCATCACCCTTTCTCCAGTGGGTCACAGAGAGGACCGGACTGGCCCGAGGCCCCAGCACTTAGGGCCGGGGCCACAGGAGGCTGGCATCGAGCA